GCTGCTCCTGCATTATGTCAAATACATTTCCTGTTGATTTGATTAGTTTCATTCGAAGCAATGCATTTATGAAAGGAAGGGAGATTTTGCAGGCATGAATTTGCACAGGCAGCCAACCTCCTTCAGACACACACACACACACACACACATTTTCTCCCCATCCACCCACAAAGTGTCAGTCACATTTAGAGTTTGCACAAATGTACACCCTCCCTCGTACATCACAATGCACACCCTCTTACCCACCTACACACTTCTTCCACAAAATCACACCTGCTCACATACCCTTTAAGCATGTTCCATGCCAGAAAGAGAGAGAGACAGAGATACATAGAGAGAGAGAGATGGGGTAGATAGGTAAGAAGAATGGGTTTCGAGGGCTCATGAAAGCAAGCACTCTATGTGGGAGCTGGCAAGTCAGAAGACCAAGACCCCACAGTACCCCCTACCTTGTAAATAGAAATACTAAGAATTGATAAGGATTCAAAAGCGGGTATAGAGGAAGCAGGGACTCAGGGCTCCTGGCCCCACATGGAAAGTATGCTGCCCCAGGGTGACAGAGATGTGCCTGAGGCCTACAGCTGAGTTAGGAAGTTTGTGAAGGCTGTGAGTACAGAATGCAGTGGCATCCATGACATATCCAGGAAGCCTATTTTGACTGATGGGAAAGGATGGTCCTTAGGCTGGGATTCCCTGTCAGAGTTCAGGAAATGATGGGGAGGAAATGAGGGGAGAAAAGAAAGTGGAAGTTTGGGTTTGGGCTCTAGGTTCAACATCCTCTAGGAGAGGTATTTCCAATGTCAAACAGAGTCAATAGGAGGAGGCTGCCTTTCACGGGAAACTTGAAATCCCCTGGAGAGAGGAGAGGTGGGGGAGATGGCCTCAAGCAGTGACAAGTGCTTAAGCGTAGAGCTGCAGCAGCCACTGTACTGCAGTCTTGCAGCCACTTTGCCACAGTCGCATGGCCCTGGCGAACCTGGCTTCAGCTCCAGACTGTTGTCTGCCTACCCTGATCCAACTCAGCCCAAACTCAGAAGCTGTGGATTCTGGAATGGAGCAAGTCTTTTCCTTTAAGAAAGGTCCTGAAGCCCACCCACAGTACGCAAGAAATTTGGCAGAGTGCTCAGCTAAACCAGACTTGAGGCCCCTACCAAGTCTGACAGCCCTTCTGGAATCTCTCCCTGTGTTGCCACCTGGGGGCGCCCCCAGCTGGGTCTGAGGCTGCCACCCGCACTGCTGTTGTTGTTGTCATTAGTATAATTAATAAGCAAGCACTGATGGGGCCAAGTGGAGGAAGAGGCAGGCCCCTGCTGCTCAGGAGAATCCCTGATAAGATCCAGTGTGGCTATGGGAAACAGGAGGCTAAGTGGTTTGTCCTTCCTCTTTACCCAGCACTTCTGGAAGGGCCCTCTGGAGTAATCTCCAGGGGACAGGTAGAGGCAAGGGCAAGGGGAGGGAAACTCTTGGTAGGCTGCATTTGGAATCAGCTGTGTATCTTCCTGACAGGATGTCTTTGAGCACAGCCATCCCCCCGTGATAACTGGTTGTGGGGCAGGCCAAGCTCTGAGGCAATTATGAATTAATTTAACAGACATCTGTCTGTTTCTTTATGGAATGCCTATTGTGTGCAAGGTGGTCTACTAATAATAGCTAATGTTTTATTGGATTCTGTGAGGACGTAGCCAACTTCCACACCATGTCCTAGGGAATGGGGGATAGAAGCAGAGGAAGCAACTAGGAAGAATGACAGCCCTAAAAGATATGGGCCATTGGGCTTTGGCCTATGTAGAGTAGCAATGGGGATGTCAGATGAAACCTGAGGATTACCAAAAAGATCTTGGAAAACTCGAGACCCAAGGCTCAAGATCTTGGAGATAAAGGGGTGGGAAATGGCGCACGGAAAAGGGAAATTTGGGTGAAAGCCTCAAGAAAGAAGCACGAAGGGGTGTTAGTCCAGTGGGGGAAGCCTTGAGTCACGATTTCGGGGCTCTGATGGTTGGGAATCTAGGGGACTGAGATGCTTTATGTCCTGAGAGGGGGGACGAGGTTCTGGCATCAGAGCCTGGACAAAAAATTGGGGTGCGGTAGAGGCTCGAGCGAGGTTTGACGGCAGGATCAGGAGTGCTAGGTTTGAAACGATGCTGGAGTGTGTTTAGGGAAAGGAGGGGCGTGGCTGGCTGCGCCACCCGGGCACCAGCAGATCCTCGGGTCGGCACTGGGCAAGCTGGCCCGGGGTGCCGCCGCGGTAGGGGAGGCCCGCGGGCGGGCCGCGGGCCGGGAAGGCGGCAGCAGGGTGGGCGCTCGGAGCGAGCCGCCCGAGGCTCCGCGGGGGGGCGGTACGAGCTCAGGCTTGCGGGCGGGCTGGTTGGGGAGGAGGCGGCGGCTCGGAGAACATGAATCAGCGGCGGCGGCGACGGCGGCGACGGCTGTGGAAGGAGCGCGGTGGCCCATCAGCGGCCCCGGGGACCCCGCGCTGCTGAC